TCGAACTCATGACCTCTTTGTAAGAGATAATATGTCAATTACCGTTAAGTTACGCTCGTGTTGGCGAATTAATGTTTTTAAGGTGATATCTAGATGGTTTTTTTTTTTTTGAGTAAATATAGATAATTAATATAATCTCTATGGTTGGCTGCATCTATTAATGATTATTGTCACACTGATAAATAAATTACAAGTTAGTGCTTGAACTTTTTTTTTTCGATATAAAAAAGTGTCCAATAAGTTTTGACTTTAAATGTTTGGTAAGTTCTTGAATTTTCAATTTTGTGTCAAGGTTATCCCGATCTATTAGACAATTTTTTAAAATTTATGACCAATGTCCTGAATTCTAATTTAGTACTTTATAGATTATTGATCTTTCGACCCTAGAATTAACACAAGACCCAACAAGTGCATTATCAATATTAATTTTGGGAGAGATAAGAGCATGGTATATAAATTGTTAGTAACAAATTCCTAATGATATTGTTAATTTTTAGATAGCCATATTAGTTTAGATTTGTGGTTTAATTTAATTTCTTGGCTAGTTGAATAATGTCTTAAAATGTTGTTTTCAATAGGTTTTGCTCCTATTTGCAATGGACAAATCATAGATGAAGAAGAACGGAATATCATAAGAATACATGTTAGGAGTAAAACAATTTATTGAATTTGGATTTCGCCATCGACTGTAATTTGTTGTTCATGTTTAAAATGTAGAAATTTTCAAAGGCACGATGGTCAGGAGATCAGGATTCACTTGATTATCAATGGAATGGATCAAAGTTACGTTACATGACTTCTGCATGGCGAAGAACTTTTACCAAAGTCGCCAGCCGAGAAGGAGCGTTCTTGGAGAGCTCGTAAATTTTGAAATGGCAAGGTTATACCCTAATGAAAGATTCTGGATTTTAGAGTGCATATTAAATAGTATGAGACTGAATATTTGATTTGCATTTCAATGGAAGAAGAAGGGAAATTAAAAGCCAAGAAGACATCAATAAAAGTTGCTTTGAATGAAAATATTTTGTGAAGCAAAAAACCCTTAAAATATCTTCATATTTTTATTAGTTTTTTGGATGCTGTCTTTTTTACTTTTAATTGTTAGACATTTTGAATTAGTATGAGATTTAATTAATAATTTCCTATTCACAAATAAAAATGGAAATTTGCTTTTTATTACTATTTTTTTTAAGTACCACATATATGGGGTGGGGATCAAACTCACACCCTCAAGACACATGTATTGAGAGTTCGAATCTTCACCTCGATCTAAAATATTAAAAAATAATAAAAAAAACTATTAATTTTAGCTAATAATTAAAAGTTTGGTCGGTTATAGCGGAGAAACCATAGAGGGCATAAATTTCATTATTATTATTTTTCTTTATTGATTTGTCCATTTGTTTATATATATCTTTTATCCTCCCAACATTTAAATTTCATTGAACCAACTCAATGGAAAAAAAAAAGTTCTTTTAATATTATTTTGTATGGTTTGTACGTATATATAAAGGAATTATAGTATATAATATATATATGATGAGAAAAATATTCGTCTTAATTAATAGAGTTAACTTGTCTCCTAGTTGGTATTATAGGAAATCACTAATATCATGTCACCCCAATAATTGGGACTTTAATGCTAGTTGGTTATTTATAAACAATGTGAGTTGACTAAATAATGTCGATTTTATGTGTAGACGTGTGGGTCTCTCGAAATTTTTATATATAATATATATGATGAGTAACACACGTTTTGTATTCCTCTATATTTAGGGATGGACTCTGTCAAATTTCCAGAATGGTATGATATTTGTCCAGCATAAGTTCTCATAACTTTGCTTTTTGTTTCACTCAAAAGACTTCATACCAACGCAAATATTATCTCTCACTTATATACTAGTCAACTACATTTTATTAAAACTTCACACTATACGTTGTTAGAAATTATCCATTTTATTTTATTATTTTTTTAGTACAACATGTGGAGGTAGGAGATCGAACTCACAGACTCTTAGTTGAAGATATATGTCAATTATCATTGAGCTATGCTCATTTTGGCATAAATTATCTATTTTACGAAGATATTGTTTTGATATTTATGATAATATTTTTAGTAGACAACCTTTTGAGCCATATTTATATATTTAAGTACAAAGCCAACACTCTTCCCCAATGGCAAATTAAAGAAGCTTAGCTTTATAGAGCTGAATCAGACATTATATTATGGAGTATAGTTTTCCCTTTCATTGTCCAATTAAGATTATTGTTAGTAATAAAGTAATAATTTTATAAAGTCTTAAAAGTAAAAACATATGGCTCAAAGGCTCCATTTGATACCAAAAAGTGGATACAAATATAACATATGGTTTTATTTTTTAAAACTTGTACTTAAACCAACAATTGTGACCATTGGTTTTATCTCATTCTTAATTGCTTTTATTTTATTAATCTTACTTTATTTGAGAATGCTTTGTGGATCTCAAAAATCATTTATCCCGTTTGATTATCATTTCTTTTTTTGATTTGTTTGTTATTAGAGGAAAAAAAACAATCAGAATATGTTTAATAATGATTTTACTTTTATATATATATATATTCAACGTGGTACAAGAGACTTTTTTTTTCGAAAACGAGTGCATCAATCAATTGACATATGTTCAGATTGATACAACAAAGCTTGTTATATCAATATTTACTTGGCGTAGAATCTGATTTTTTTTTCACTTATAATAGTCAGACCTTTCTCTAAAATAAAAAAATAATGGTGCATAAGAGACTATATTATATCAATATTTACTTATTTACTATTTAAGAGTCATTTGATACCGTCCCTCTTTTTGTTTCTTATTTCTCATTTATAGTGCATCAATGATTAATTTTCTCATATATCAAGAAATGTTTCCAAAATTATCTAAAAAATTTTAGAACAAAACCAACTACTTCTTGTTTCCATTTTTTTCCAAAACATAAATAATATTCATAATATATTATAAAATGCATAATAAATATTAAGAAATAAATATACATAAAAATTTTGAATATTTAATTAAATATTTTATTTTTATATAAAAATTTACTTTTTAATTTAAAGCTATTAGTGCATTGATAATAAGAATCATAATTACATAAAATGATTGAAATGTATAAAATTTATACTTTTGTCGTGAAACAAAACTAATTAGGATGATACTCATCATACAAATTACTAATATCCTTTTAAGGATCCACTAGAAATAGTAAATTTGGATGTTACCTTCAAATCTGCTTAATTATACTTTCCATAATAAAAAAATCTCAAAACCTCAAAAATCCCCAAAACCATCCATTTTCGAAATCTCTTTCTTCTTCCTTCGACCGTCCGTTTTTTTTCCTTTGATCGTCCATTCTTCTTCTCCGACCGTCCGTCTCTGTCTGCCTTCCTCTCTGGCTGACTCCGTTTTTCTCCGTCGTCTGTCTCCGTTTATCCCGTTCGAAAGGAGATTTTTGTCCTTCCTTCTTCTCCGATCGTTTTTGCCTGCTTTCGTCTCCGGTCGACGTCTGCTTGCCTTCATCTCTGCCCGCCTCCATTTTTCTCCATCGTGCCAGGGCAATTCGTCTTTGTTTACCCCAATCGAAAGGTTTACATTCCAACGATTGTTTTTTATTTATGATTTCGTGTGAACTACTGTATATATGAGGGTATATATTATAATGAGTTTGATTATGATATATCTTATAACTCAACTTGTATATATGCGGATATATACTGTGATTTTGAATATATGGATATATGTTTATTGAGACTTCAAAAGATATGTTAGATGTTTTTTGTGATTTTGAATATGGGGCCACAATAATTTAAGAATTATGATAATAATTTATGGAATTATATCTTTTATATTTAAAAAAAAAAACAAATAACTCTAATAAATGTAAATGTAATAAATAAGGGTAAATTCGGAATTAAAATAAAATCCTACATGCATAAATCTAAAAGTGTAAAATTAGAAAATTTTAGACATTTGTGTATATAAGTTTCTAAAACAACCCTCCGAACACATTATCTTTAATTTAAAATTGTAGTTCTTTTTCCATAAGAAAAATAACAATAAATAGGAAATAGTTACCAAATGCAGTATTTTTTATTTATTAAAAAATGATAACAAGAAATAGTGACCGTTACCAAACATGTCATTTTGTAAATCTTTTTCTCATTTCTCATTTAAAGAAAAAAAAACATTCCCAAACATGTCTACAAATTTTAGAAATGACAAACTAATGTTTAGTTTTTTGTTCTGGCTCCCAACTTTTCAAACACAAGTAATAATTATTATTATTTTATCATTATTTACTTATAAAAAGCATAATAAATATTTTTAAGAATAAATATAACATAAATTCTTTTAATGTTTTATTTTCAAAAAATAATTTCATGTAAATTTTTTGTTTTTTAAATTTAATATTTTAAAAAATAAGAAACAATTACCAAAAAAAATATTTCTAAAAGAAAGAAAGAAAAAAATATCAAACATGATTTTTTTCATAAATAAAAAATGCAAAAGAACAAAAAAAGAAACAAGAGCATTGTCAAACAGATCCTTAAATTCTCGAATACTAACTTTATAGCTCTAGCCATAATTACAATTATATGAAAGAAAAACTCATATTGCCCTTCAATCTTTTTTCCTTCAATTATTTTTGATAATTTGGTCACATTTCTTCAAATACTTTACATTGGAAGTTGTTTGCTTAATCAAGAAATAACTCTCTTCACTAAAACTTTTAACAAAAATATAAATTAAATTAAATTAAAAACAAAAGACAAATATCAATGCAACTAATTCACAAATTCAGTCCTTCAACTTCGAGCATTATATCTATTTAGTCTGATTTGTTAGCAATTACACCTATAAACTTTAAATCCCTTTTCAGCGTCGATAGTACTAAAAAATGCAGCAGAAACTAAATTAGTTCAAACTTCTGCCCTGTGTTCAATTCAATAGCCTTCATTTCTCATTTTCATATACCAAAAATTGTTCATGTACAAGCCAAGAGAACCAAAAAGAAAAAATCACTGCTCAAATTGATTACTATAACTGTGTCAAATTTCATTGAATATAACAGTCAATAAGATCACTATAAACTGACTGTAGACAACTCAATGTAGTTAGGCTCTACCTCTATTGATTTTCTATGGTCCTGGACGAGAATGCAGAAAACATAGCCCGAGCAGGAACCCGAGTCTGTTACAGACCAAAATGATGAGAGAGTTCATCAGTTGCTAAAATTGCATCTCCTTCCAAATCTACTTGACTGCCTGTTGTGTCATTGGTTGCACCTTCAACCGATCGTTTCCTTTTTCGTTGACCGTCCAACGATAACCTAATGAAAATTCCGTATTTCGTGAATTAACCATCAGTTTGAAATAAATTTGACAATAGAAAGTTATCATTAAACTCTAATTGAAATAGATTTTGAGAATAAGTGACCCTCAAAATGAATTGAGCCAGGGAAATACGAAAGAAAATGATGCAAAAAATTTAAAGGAGTGCTTGGTTGCTCATGAGTTCGATTTTTATAACATGGTGTTAAGAAGTCAAGTCTATGTTGGTTAGGCGGGTTTACTTATCTCATACCATAGTTGGTTAGTCTTACAGGCTTCATGATATATTTAGGGTGTGTTTAGGTCATGAGTCGGGTTTATGTAGCTCGAAGGACTAACAAACTTATAAACTAAGGACGAAGAACTCGCCTTTTATTCAATATATTAACTTTCAAAAATCATAAATTTACAAATCAAATACATGTCACACACTATCCTAAGTTTCTAAAACATATTCTTTTAGTATAATCCAAACGCAAATTACACAAGTTTTCCAACTCGCTTAATGAACCTAAACTTATTAAAAACGACGGACTAAACATCCTCTAAAATAGGTTAAATTAGAAGTTTGGTCCCTAAACTTTGAGGTTGTATCTAATAAGCCACTAAACTTTAGAAACTATACTAAAAAGTCTCTAAACTTTAAATATCGTATCTAATAGACTCCTAACCTTTAAAATGTGTCTAATACATTCCTAAACTTAAAGAGTTAAAGGTGTTTAATAGATTTTTAAACTTTCAATATTGTATCTAATAGATCCCAAACCTTTAAAAAGTGCCTAATAAATCCCTGAACTTTCAATTTTATTTATGTCAGTAGGTCTCTGGACTTTAAAATGTGTCTCATGAGTCAAGGATCTATTAGACTTCGAAGATTATTAGATATGAAATTGAAAGTTCAATGACCTATTAGACACTTTTTAAATTTAAGACACTTGTTGGTCACCATGGCGAAAGTTTAGAGATTTATTATGCATGGAATGACTCACAAATTAACCAGGATTTTAACAATCTATTCCAACGCCACAAGTTCTGAGGTCGAGCAGTTGATCAATATGATTAATCGTGGAACCTCTAGCTAATCTACTCCTAAGAAAAAAGTTTCTTTTCCCAACTTTTAAGGTTAAGGATGGACAATCGTTTATATTCATGTGAAAGATACTCGATTCCTTTTTCACCTTTTTCTTCCATTTGTTTCTATGCAAATAAATGAATTGAGTAGTACATGGAATATTTAATCAATTTCAGACGGTAAAATGTAAACCCAACACAAAAAAGCAGCTCTCCTTTTCTGCTCTTGCTTGCCATACTCTAAAAAGAGCCTGATAAAGTTGACTGTTGCACTAAAAACAGGGGAGTATGCCTATGAAAAAGTTAGTAGTTGCTAATCATGTCCATATTCTACCAAGACTATATTTGAAGGCAGAAAATTTTGATGAACTATTAGTCAGATCCTTAGATAAAGAATTGGGGCACATTCAGACAACCAACCAAGCTGGTGATCAAGAAAACAAGCCGAAGAAAGTGAGTGTGAGTCTATTTGATAATGATTTCGTTTTGGCTTTGCATTATAGAATCTATTTTCAAAAGCCCTTTTATAATCCTAGCTAAAATCTGAAAAAGTAATTGTCAAAAGTCTACTTTTTGTTTTAGAATTTTGGCTAGTTCTAGAAACTGAAAGCTAGATAGGTTCAAGATAAGAAATTTGAAGTTTACCCCAGATGCAAGGAAATTTCCGAGCGGTCATTTTCCTCTGCCTCGGTCTCGGCCTCAGTCTCGTTGGTAGAAGTAGTTTTCGAATCCGAGAAGTAGGATCTTTGAAAGGGGCTGGACTCCGGGAGCGGTGTATTATTTCTCTGCTGTAACTCCTCAAGCTATAAATGTTCGAAAGGAAGATATAAATAAAAAATTCATGTCATTCTTTCCATCCCGAAAATATGAGTTAATTACTTTTAAACCAAAAACTTACCTGTTTTCGCAGAGTCTCGTTCTCTGAAATGACCATTTCCCCCTGGGAGTAAACAAAATCCGAATAGGAAATAATTAGTAATCAACGAGTAAGATCGAGAGAACATTAGTTCCACGAGATCGTGTTTATTGGAAGTTCATGACTCCTTCTTCCACATTTCTATTAGGAGAGTTCTAAATGTAATACAACAACCATTTCAATTAATCCATCAATCTATAAACTTACCAAAACTTTCCCTCTAGCAAATATTAACTGAGTTATTTTCTACCAACCCCACTTATCAAAGTTGGTTACATTACCATTGTCTTTTCATTTTATTCCATTTGATACAATCACAACCACAATTAACTATAATCAAATCAAGCAAAACCTTGAAGGAAAGCAAACTTTAAGAAAGATTTACTCGAGACAAGAGCTATGGTTGATTAATCACTTTTACCATTAGAAAATCACTCATCTTCCTATTGATCATGTTTGGCAAATTAGAACATTGATTTTAGGAAAATCAATTACTTAAATCTCTTTTTCCAAAATCACTAATTCTACCATCACTCCCAAACACACCCTTATTCGATAGGTGTCACTAGCATAATTCTTTGTTCCAAAATTACGATTGGGTATTGTAAGTGGTAGGGTGGTTTTGCTACCACAATCCACTAAGATTTGGTCGTTCTTCATCCCGATAGTCCGATTCATTTAAAAACCTCAACATCCAAACCAAAATCTTCAACTAGCTTACTTGTGATATTGGTAACTTCTTTGGATTCTAAGATAGAAATAAAAGAAAACGAATTAAAAAAAGGATGACAAAGTTACCTGTGACCTACACTTTTGGAGCTGCTCCAAAAGCAATGTTTCCTGAAAAAGTTATGTCTCAGCCAAGGCAAGATTTTTTACACAAAGTACTAACTACTAAAATTAACATGCATATTTGCATAGTACCTTCTTGTCTTTGATCGATACGATTCCTTCCCGCAACTGATTTTCTAAGTTTTGTAGCTCTCTAAAGCTCAAACCATCCAATTCTTGGCCTCGCATCTGCCTAAGAGGTAGAAAAACAAAAGCTAAGAGTTATTTACCAAATAACAGGCTTCTTAAGTTGTGTTCTACAATGTCAAAGTAAATAAATTGGTAAAGTGAAGACATATGACTTGTACTTTAAATTTACAACAGACACAGACCAACTTTTTTTGTTTCGGTGTATCATCTAAGTACTCATTCTTTTTTTTTTTTCTGATAAGAAACAATTTTATTGATGATTGAAATTACAAAATGGTGGAGATTAAACAAAAAAAAACCAAAGGAATTACAGAAAACTTCTCCAATTGGTTAAAAGAGAGTTCATACTACAAGAAAGGAAATATGGAGAATCTTTACACCAAGAGCATGCACTGTTCCAAGAGTACTCATTCTTTCAGGTCCCTAGGTTAACATTTCTATTTCTTATTTCTTATTTCCCGTTTTCTGTTTCTTATTTCTCATTTTTTATTTTTTGATAAATAAAAATAAAATTGAGTTTAGTAACTGTTTCTAGTTGATAATGATTTCTTGTTTCTCGTTTTGTAAACTTTTAAAATAAAAAAGTAAAGTTTTAATATAAAAATTAATTTATAAATTAAATATTCAAATCTTTTATGTTATTTTTATTTTTTAATATTTATTATGAGTCAATATTAATAAAATAATGAATTATTTATGTTTTGGAAAAAAAATAGAATCTGAACAAGAAACAAGAAACTTGATTTAATTGTTTCCAAAATTTCTGCACAATCTTGAAAACGTTTCTTAAAAATAAAAAACGAGAAACAAGAACCATTACCAAACGCTTACATTTCTCTAAAAATGGAAATGAAAAACATGAAATGAGAACATTACCAAACCTTAATAATTCCTAACCAGTTCCTACTATTTCAAATTTGTATGTTTAAAAATAAGAAAACTACTTACTACCGACTTACAAGCATGATAACTTTAGCTTTACAATCTCCTCTTCAGATGACTTTGTATTGGAATCGGATGGTGGCAACTGTTTTTCACAAGAAAATTATAAGAGAACTTAGCAAAAATAACAAACAAAAAAAAGGAGAGAGAGAGAGGGAAAAATAAACATAGACCATAAAAATGTAGTGCATTTACTTTTGTTGTGTGGTCCAAAGTCTCCTTTGGAAAATCCAACTCCATGCCCTGTCCTCTGTACCTTGAAAGAGTATGTTCCATGCTTTAAAACAGAGAGAAACAGAGTCAAATAACTAAGCATGTTTCCAAATAAACAAATAATATTAAAGACAACTATTCTTTTTTTTTTTCATAACCCAACATCAAACTTTGCTAGTTTCCTAGTTACTTGGGTAATTCAAGAAAATGCAGATTCTACATTTATGTCAGATTATTAAAACCGGCTGTATCTCATCTCATGCTGTACTCTTAGTAGTAAAAGATCATTTCAGTTACTAGTTAAAAGATAACTATCTGACCATTTGTAAAGGAGAACTATGTCCATCATTCTCTTCTTCTTTAGCTTTTCCATATCATTTAACTTTTCGAGTGTTTAGACTAGCTTCGCACCTTGACTAATCTCATGAAATAACTACCTAACCTCACTATATTTGATTGCTAAGAAAAGTCATAGAATATTAAATTCTACTAGGTGACTACTATAGTTTGAACTGATTCTCTCTTTAGTCTAGCTTGAGCTCATTCACTCTTCATAGGCACTACTGACCACCAAGCCACGGTGGTTCATTTTACTATTTACCAAGTGAATAAAACTAAACTTTCTCTATATAATATGATAAACTAGAATACCAAACAAAACCTCAAATTAGTTTATTTTAATATAAAATAAAGCTTCCGCAGCAGAACCAATGAAAGAGTTCTGAACCCCACACCACAACTTTTATTTGATCCTATTCACATTTCACTAGAAACCCAAAAATACAAAAACCCCCTTTTAAACTCCAGAGCTGATAAAGTTTCCACTGTTACTGAATCCCCCAAATTCACATGGTCCAACAATCAGAAACTCAAAGCTCCAACAGCAGACAGAAAAGACCAAAATCAAGAAATCAAAAAACCCTAAAGCAAAAAACCCTTTACCTAGTGCTGGAGAATTCATAGAGCCTCCCAGTGCTGGAGAACACAACAATGGCGACCTCTGCATCACAAAGAACCGACAATTCCTTGGCCTTCTTCATCAACCCATTGCGGCGTTTGGAGAATGTAACTTGCCTGCTGTTGATGTTCTCGATTTTCTTGATCTCCACTCTCCCTCTTCCCATCCCCTTCTTCGATTTTCTGGGACGATTTTCTCGAGGGTTTTCGTTTCCCCCAAACATCAAATTTCAAAACAGCAGTAGAATGTACAAAGTGGGATGGGAAATGGGGGAAATTGCTTTAAAAGAAAGGCATTGGCATTGCTGTTGGAACTTGAAAATGAATTTTGGGAAATTTTTTTTTCTTTTTTTGTTTTGGAGCGTCCATGGAAGGGAAGTTCGACTAAAATTAGTATGCAAGTATAATGGGTGACGATTGCTATTTCTATACGTAGAATTTATCCATTATTGGCATCAAACTGGCTGGTCTTTTCGGCCGCGATTGGAGGGATCCCTTTTTTAAATCTTTTCATTTTTCTCAAACACTAATTTGGTAGTGTCCGTTTGCTCAAGTTCTTCATTCTTGTTACAAAAGAAAGAAAGAAAATTGTGTTGGTCAGTCAGGGGTGAGCATATGGACTCGAAGAATCGAGCCGACCGATTGAAACTGACATGACCGCGGTCAATTTTTGGAATAGGCTGTTCAATTGTTGGTTCTTATTTTTTAGAATCGACGAGTCGATAGATCGACGGTACGAACCTGTCGATACCAACCGACTGATTATACCATAATTAAAAAAAAGTTACACTATTTTACAATTATATTAAATAGTTTGGACTTATGTGTATTATTTGGATTAAAATTACTGTGTACATTTGGATAAGAACTAATATGTATTAGTATTAGTGTAATATGTATTTTGAATTTTTTTGGAACTTGTATTACTTTCCTACTTAATAATGATTATTGATTAGTCTAAAATATCTCGTAAATAATGAAACATACCTTATAGAAAAAAATTTGAATGAAAATATTAATGAAATTTGAAAAATATTATACAGTATATGGTTATATACGAGAGAATTTGAATAGAAAAAATGAAGGGGAATCCAATTAATAAAAAAACGTATTTGAAAAAAAAACGAAATCAATGTCGATTTAATTGACAAACCAACTGCTCAATCGGTCTGCGCACAATGAAACAAAAAAGTTGTTGATTTTCAGATTTGGAAACCGACAATGTCGGTTTTTAACGGTGGAGTCGACCAAACACTGACCTCGACCAACCGATGATCGGCCCTAGTTGTCTACTATAGATTTGGTAATTTTAATCTTCTCGTTTCTATTTTTTGTTTCTAGTTTTCTAGTTTTTTTCTTTTTCAATAAAGTAAAATAGAAATGCATTTGAAATTAGTTTTTTAAATTAAAGGTTCAAAGTTTTTATGTTTTATTTATTTCTAAAATATGTATTATACGTTTTATGAGTCAAAAATGATAAAATAATACTTTATTTATGTTTTGAAAAAATTAGAAACAAGAAAGAAACTCAATTTAAATGACCAAAAAAGGCCGCTATTCTAATATCATCTCATGTGATTTTGAAGACTAGGATGAAGCACTTCTAAAATAACAAAAGTAAAAATGATAAAAAAAAAAGTACTCTCATGTATGTTGAATGAATTATAAAATGTATATTTAGTATGAAATTGATAGAGTTTAGACAAAAAAAAAAAATAGAGTATTCCTTTTTTTCTAGTTTAAAATTGGTATGTTTTGTCTAAGTTATTTAATGGTGAATTTTGTGCTAGAAATTTAGAGACCGTTCGATAACATTCTCATATCTTGTTCCTGTTTATAGTTTATCAAGGAATCTAAATATTTGGTAATTATTTATATTTCTTGTTTCTCTTTTTTTTAAGCCGTCCCACAATTGTATAGAAATTTTTTAAACAACAATTTCTTGTATGTTTTACCTGTTTTCAATTGGTTCCAAAACATATGTAAAAATATTGTTTTATCATTCTTGACTTAAAAAATAATAAATACAATTTTTTTAATATTTAGCTTAAAAAAATAGTATTTTTCATATAAGATCTTTACTCTTTGAATTTAAAATTTAAGAGAACAAAAAACGAGAAATGGTTACCTTCTTTTTTGAATAATTTTCGATAAAAAATAAATAAATAACAATAAATAGTTACGGTGTTTCTTTATTAAAGACGAAAAACTAAAAAATAAAAAAACGGAATGATTACCAAACGGACCCTTAATTTTATTGTTTAAAGAATTTGGCCCTTAATTTTATTCATTCCAAAATTTCTACACAATTTTAGAAATGTTTCATAAAGATGAGAAACAGAACGAAACAGTTGTAAGCACATTTTTTTTTGAAAAAAAAAACTATAAATGAAAAACAAGAAGCAATAATGTTACCAACGACCCTTTTTTTTTTCTAGTTTCTTGTCCTTACAAATTTTAGACTAGAAAAAATCAAAGTTTTACTTGAAAATTAATTTTTTAAATATGCTCTTCCAAACATTCTTTGAAAATGAGAAATAAGGGTCTGCTTGGTTGTTAATCTGGATTTTTTTTTAATGCAACATATGAGGTGGGGATCGAACTTACTGTTGGATGTTTAATATGTGAAAGAAAGTGAGAAAACCGTTGAGTATACAAATTTAACATCCGAAAATTAAATTTGTATATTAAGAATTTGAAACTTATTTTACATTTGTAACAATTTCATTATTTATTTCATAAAGTTTTTTTTGTTTCAATTTTTTGTTATGTAACTTTATTTTGTTAAAGTTGAAGGGATGAGATTCCCGGAGCGGAAACGGATCTTCATTGCTGTTTTTCGGGATACAAAATCCAAATGGAAAGAAGGAAATACAAGGGAAAAACCAAACCTTTGAAGAACGTTTCTTCAGTGAGTTCCCCTCGAACACCACCACCGGATTTTCCTCGCTATCCTCTTGGGTCTCGGGATCGTGCTTGTGGTAGCACCTTGATCGAAGAGTGGGTGAGATTGAGAGAATTTTGACAGAGAATTGATCGGTTTTTTTTTTTCTTGGTTCTATTCTGTAACCCCTTCCCCTCTTCTCCAACACACTTGAAGAAGAAGAGGGATGACGTGGGGTAACTCCCCACGTCACAAAACCTCCCACTCCCCTGCAATTTTGCAGGGGAGTTAATATTAATAATAATATTAATATATATATATATATATATAATATAATAATTAAAATATATATATAATAATATATATATAATAATTAATATATATATATAATTAATTAATCAAATTAATAATTAATAAATATATATATATACATAAATAATTAACACTTAATTATTTATTATAAAATTAAAATCATATTCTAAAACATTTCTCTCGTATAACCTATAGTTTTAATGTACATCTTATGCTCATTATTTTTAACCTATAGTTAGAATCTTATTCATATTAATTTTATTTGAATGAGATTTGAATCTCATTCAAATAATATCTCTCATAATATATAGTTTTAATTTACAATTAACTATATATCATAATGTATCAATATATATATAATCTCTTAAGTAATTTGAACAATTCAAATTCTTCCAAAAACTTGATCCTCGTTTTACCCGTTATGAGCTAGCAAGGGGACCTAATGGACCTACAGATCCGAAGCTCCAACGATGAAAGATTAATCGGTCAAACTCATTGACCGAGTTAATCTGGATTCGTTAACTACGGGTCATTCCACTAAAGACCCGCAGTTGCACTCTTCTCACTACAGAATGTTTTCGTGTCCATGGATATACGACCATTAACGACGAGTCAATCCTTTACGAGTCGTAACTCAAATTGGGTCAAATTACCGTTTTACCCCTGAGTTACATCTTACTCCTTAAACACCACTGCTCCTCTAATAAACAACCCGGTTATGGTCCAACCAATAACCGGAAGTCCCTCTCGACCAATGAGAGGGTGGGGCCCCTTGTTCAAGTCCCGGAGTCAGCATTTAAGGGAACACTCATCTACTCCCCTAAAGTCGGGGAGGAGTGAATTCCATCTTGTGAAATTATGTTCCCAGCTCCCCACTCGGTCTCGTCCCCAAAATGGTAGGAATGTTGAGTCGGCGACTCGGGCCACTCTCACTCATACAGATCAAAGGACGAGCCCTCACGGGCAGGAGTCCATAACTCACTCAGGATTGATAATGAGTTGCTTGGTCATCCTAAGAAATAGCAATCTATTAGTCAACGGTGTTACATCTAAAGATTTCCTATTTCGCGGTCCGGTCTTATACAAACTCATTGTATAGGATACCCCCACTCGCATGTCTCCACACGAACGACCTGGATCGAGTCGTCTGTAACCTTTACAGAGTGTGCCGTATCCATAGTGTTGCCAGGATAAGGTACTCAGCCTTATCCATATACTATAGACCCTTTAGGTTATTCACGAGACATTATCCATTCATATATCAGGGGTATATCAAATATATACCCCGTATATATACTGTCTCGATTACATCATAAATAACCTTGGATGTTTAGTTTATTGGATTTTGGATAATGCAAAGCTATGACTCAACAACAAATTTATTGAATAAAACTTTATTAAATAGACATTTGTTTTTACAAAATACAAACTACGAGTTTAGGGCAACACACCCAACAAAAGTTACGTGTTTTAAACTTGAAGTTATACTTCAAATGAGAAGTTTTTTCTTTATTTTGTTAAAGTTACACTTGTAACTTTATATGTGTTAAAGATGCTTGTGAGATGTTACTTGTTATGGACAACTATACATAGTTGTAGTTTTCTTCATTTGATATCCAAGCATACCACAATTGGGTATTCTCCTCCTCCCACAAGAATTCTCTCTTCTTTTGAGTTGTTCTTCTTGTTTATGTTGAGAGCAAGTATCTAAGAGTTCTGCCAGATCCGAGTAGTTCGAGGTTGCAATTCTACCGGAGTTAGTCGTTGTATCCTACTGAGACGATCGCTGTAGTCTGCTAACAACTTGTGCAGAGCGAATAATTGTCTTCAGGTCAGCGCTATTGAAGCGTGCCTCGACTATTTTTTTATCAAGTTTTGGTGTTCATCAAGTTGTTCAAATTTATATCGTTTGTATCCAGTTACGTTGTAATCTGTTTCTTAGTACTACACAGTTTATATATACAGCGTATATTTTCTCAACACTTACAACCTCTCATTGTTGGACCACTCAGCTATAGTTGACAGTTGTAAATCCGGATTTTGTTTCTTATTTTTAGATTGACCGAATCAAATAGATTCCATGAATATGCAGTTGTCATATTTGTTTTTGAAAACTGTTTCTAGATTCTTCCATCAAAAATGAAAATTCTGAAAACAACAATTTTAGATTTTTAGAGTTTTCAAATTTTGAATTTGAAATTTTTTAAAGTGCATAATTACATTATAAAAAAATATAAAACTTTCATAAATATTATAAACTTTTTTTTAATTAAAAACATGTAAAATATAATATATTATAAATTATAATATTGTAAAATAAAAATTATCAAAATTTATAACAAAAATGTTAATAAATTAATTACTATTATTTAGATTGAACTAAATATTTAATGAGTAACTACTAGTTACAAATATATTGCTAAATGCAGTAATTTTTTAAATTGAGATTCAATTTTCAAATCTACTGCCAAATACATATCTGAAAACACTCCAAACAAATAATACAATTCTATTTTTTATTGATTCTCTTATTTTTCATAGATCACCAACGAAATGCACCCTAAGAAACGTAACCAGATGCCAAGAACAAGAAACATTGAACGATGTTACTAAATGGGCCCTTAGCTCCATTTGGTTTATTGTTACTTTATAGGTCGATGGAGGAAAAAAATTAAGTTTAGATTTTTGGTGTACCGGTTTACTTATTTCAAATGAAAATTTGTGTCAACTTGAATATAGTTCGAGATCATAGATTCAAATCTTCATCGTCTCTCCTTTGGGATGTAATATTTAAAAACAAAAAACAAACATTTGGGAACCTTTCAAATTATATAAACCAAATTTTATGTTAACTCGTGCTTGATTTGTGAATTTATGATTTGTAATAAAGTTAGGCCTATCTATGGTATTTGAGTTTCATAGACTTGAGTTTATGTAATATAGATTTATGTCGCTAGTTGATAGGGATTAACAAACTCATACCATAATCACTCAAAAAAAAAAAGTCAAACCGAGCATAGCTCAAGTGGTTAAGACACCTATCTTTGACTGAGAGGTCATGAGTTCGAACTCCTACTACCAAATGTTGTATAAAAACAAAAAAAAAAAGACTCATACCATAAAGATAAGAAAACTCACATATCAAACTAGATGGTGAGGGACTTGCTGCTCCCGACGACGATTCAACATGAAGAGATGTTTTTTTATAATCGGATTCGTCGGGTTATCAAGTTTTTTTAACACCCCTAGACCAAACTATACAAACTCAATCTTTTTAAACTAGTTAATCAAACACCTCCTTGTATGGATGTTAGGTATTTTCTTCCCTTTTCAAAATAAAGAGATGTTAGGTCATATAGTCCATAAAATTGGACTCTAGAAAGGATAGGAGAGATTCCAAACATACCCTTGCCAGATTGATGTGTATCAAATTTCCAATAATGGCTAAAAATTCTTGTTTTAGAAGGTAATTAGGCAAAACAAATGTCTTTTTTTCTTGGGTTCCCTTGTTTGGTTTACTTTCCTTTTATAATTCTTTTGAGATTTGGATGTGTCATATAAATTTTGAAGATTCAACCGGCTTGTTTAATAACGTTCTTGTTTTTTGTTTTGTTTTGTTTTTTTTGTTTTTCGATTCTAATTTTTAAGTCTTTGGTAACTTTTCATGTTTCTCCTTCTAATTTCTAAGAAACGTTCAAATTTTGGAAATAACAAATTAAAAATCAAGTTTCCTTTTTTTTTCTTCTAATTATCATTTCATTCTTTTGTCCCAAATCATAAATAAAATAATTATTTTATTATTCTGTAAAAATTTTGAATGTTTATTTTAAAATATAAAAAAATTATTTTCTTGTAATTTAATATTTTGGAGAACAAGAAATAAAATATCATTAATCAAACATATTTCTTTTTTTCTTTTTCTAAAAGAACAAGAAACAAGTAATAATTATCGAACATTGTTCTATTTTTATTTATTTAAAAAGAGAAAACACGAGATAGAAAATAGAAAACCAAGAAACAAAAAACATAAATACCAAACCGAGCCTGAATCAAATATTTTGAAATTTCTCTTCAAATATTTAGAATTTTTTTTTTCTTTAGTTAATAACTATCTTGCTCAAGCAAAGCATTCGTGTTAGTGATTTATACCTAAAGCTTTATAATTTTGTAGTAGACATTACAAATATGAAATACATATGGTCTTTAATTACCATTCAAATAGCAAAATAATCAGTGACTTTAATAATCTTAAACTAGGTATATGTAGGTAATACATACAAAATAATATAAAGTTTAAAATATTTAACTTAAATAATCTATAGTATATGGATAGGGTTAAGAATCTTATTTATCGGACACTATTGAAATAGTCGACTTTATATATCTGCCAATAGCTCAACGAAAAAAAACAACTACTTCTTTACTTTAAGTTGGAGGTACAAATCCACAGGCTCCAAATTTGTAGGCTTCATCATGTCCCTACTAGTTTTAGAAACAAAAAGTTTCGGTCCCGTTTGATAACCATTTCATTTTTAGTTTTCTATTTTTTAAAATTATGCTTGTTTACTCGAGATTTCTTTAGTATTTTTTATTTTTCTTGGAAACACATTTAAATTACTCTTAGCCAAATTTAAAAATAAAAAAAAAAACAAATTTTTGACCGTCTACTTTTTTTGTTTTCAAGTGTTAGCTTAGAGTTTGAAAATGTTTTCTAGATGCAAAACAAATAAATACATATTTGAAAGTAGGGTTTATCAGTTTAATTTTAAAAATGGGAAATAAAAAATAAAATGGATATCAAATGGGCCTTAATTATGTATAAATAAATCTTAGATTTAAATACTATTTTGGAATCTGTCTATACCTTCAACTTTTATTCATTTTGGTCCATGTATTTTCAAAACCTATTTTGATCCATATATTTTCAGTTTTTATCAATTTTAATCCATAGTATTTTCGAAATGTATATCTTGGTCCTTATACTTTTAAAAAGTGATCGTTTTACTCCATTTTATTTTATCGCGCTTTTCTAATCACAATATTAGGACAACACATATCTCAATTTCCCTTTTGGTCTAAGTTGTGGCTTGAATGCATTTAGTTGGGTAATATGGCTTCAAGTTTGGTATGAAAATCCTAAAGGCTAATTTTCCCTCAATTATTAGTTCATTGAAGTCCATTTTGACTTTACCATTAATTTGATTATATTTCATTTTAAAAAATGTTTCATTATACTTCTTGGTCATAGGAGTGCAAGTCAAGATGGGTGAATTTTTCTTATTCACGAGCAAGGTATTAAATTTTTATCGACATATTTGATGTTTTTATCATACTTTTATATGTTTATGGGTTCAACATCGACATGAGAGATGAATCAACATTTCTATATAAATATATATATATATATATATATATATATATATGTTTTAATTTTTATAGTTTTTCTAGAAACGTGAATAAGTTTGGGCTTGACTTTTCTTTGTTTGATATATTTGCAATCTAGAATGTTATTTGTATATTTGTAATTTTTTTTAGTACAACATGTGGGCGTGGGATATCAAACTCACAATCTAAGTTTGGAGATATATGTCAATTATCGCTGACATATGTTCATTTTGACATTAGTATATTTGTAATTAATTGGGTTTGTTTTGTCAACTGCCTCAAATTTTTAAACCATATTGAAATTAAGATTAAAATAAATGTCCTAAATTAATAAATAGAGAAAATTATATAGGAAAAAAATTTATTTATTCATAATGAGAATATAAGATTGAATTTTCATATATACCCAAAAATTATCTCACCTAAAAAATAAAATTTACACAAACTTGGTCTCTTTGTAATGATTCACAAATCACAACCCAAGTCAAGTGGGTTAGTTATGTGCAAAATAAACACACAAGAATAATCAAATGTTATGTACAGAAACAATGTTTTGAAACTCCCCCTTTATTTCTTTCCCCCAAAAAATGGACATGATGCAGAAGAATCTCAGCAACCATCACTCCGATCGAGCACCGCGTCGGGCTCGGGCAATGCAGTAGTAATAAGCACGGTCCAGCCGCTTCCGAAACCGAGCGAGGTTCAACCTCACATTCTGACCATCAAGATAGATCTTCTTCGTGTACTCCCACCCCTTTTTCGTGACGCTATCTGGGTTGACAAGAACAGGATCTTCTTTGTCGTATTGGCTGTACAATGAACTCTCCTTTGGTCGAATTTCGTACCCAATGTACCTCAAACCGAGCTTCTTCGCGGGCTCGCCGTAGTAGGTTTCGGCTGCCCAAACAGTCCCCAATGGAATGATTTGGATGAAAATTGAGGCAGGCCTCATGAAGAGAAAGTGTGTCATCGCAGCTCCATGGACTCCTACCATTACATCACTTCCATTGAGCTCTCTATAGATTTTGGCCAATTCTGTTGTTCTATCTGGCCTCAAAACTTTCACCTCGAACCCGATCTTCTCCGCCATCTTCACCATCATCTTCTCGTTCGTTATCGCCCTCGACCCCTTCCTCGACAAAATCACCAATTTAGGTCGCTTTGCTTCATCTGCAGACACTACTACTCTTTCATCTTTGACCTCCTTCTCCTCGTGTCGAATCAACTCTCGGATTCGGGGTCGGTATGCCATGTCCAACATGTTCCGAAAATCGACGATGCTCTTGTTCCCTTCCATCAGTGAAGGATCCACAGTCAGCTCATCATGGATTCTCAAGCCAGCAATGGCTTGTGGGAAGCAATGAGTTCTATTGTCTTTGCCAAAGTTTATGGGAGGATAATTTGAGAGTTGGGAAAGAATGTCACCATATTTTGTGAACCACCAATTATGATACTCAAGGATCACAAAAACTACCTCCTTCTTCATATGTTGACTAGTTATGTAGAGTGGCAGAATCCCGTCGTTGAATTCGTGATAAACATTGCCCGTGTAGCCCCCCGTCGAGAAGAACACGGCGGGAATGTCGTGCCAGACGTCGCACCGGTGGCGGCGGTCCACGACCTCGCTCTTTCGTTTAACGATGAGATCCAATTCATCAACTGTGTCCATTGTGTTTTTCTCCCATTTCCTTGTGTAAGGCTTGATTTTCTCGACTTGGATCACCCCGTCTTCGTTATCGTCGTCATCGTCATCGTTGTCGATCGGGGAATCACGTGAGGTGTAGAGGAAAATTGATGAGGAGGAAGAATCTGTTCTTATGTCTCCTTTCATAATACAGATATCAGAACGAATGCTATTTCTGTCGCAACATATGGTTCCTAAACAGAGGAAACAAAAAAACATCTCATAATAAAACATAAATTTCTGCTAACAAATTCTCATAAACCAATCCCAAAAAAAGAAAAAAGAAATTTGAAGCTTTTTTTTAACTAAAGAGATGATTAGTTCAGAACTCCGAAGCATTAAAAAATTCATATGAAAATAAAAAGTGATAGGAAAAAAGAACCCATTGAAAGGATCAAGTAAAAACAGGGGATTTATAATATTATAATGAAACATTTTGTTTCCTTTTCTCTCTCGTTTTCTATAGGGTTGAAAACTAAAAGTTGAATATTATTGTAAAAGTTAAAAAGCAGATCAGATTCTAGTGGCAAAATTTTCCCTTTTTCCCAATCTTTGAAATCATGTTTTGATTAACCCCGACATGAAACCTGGGATGAAGGAAAAACTTGAAAAAACAGAGGGACAGGAGAGAGAGAGAGAAGAGCTGATTACCATTAGAAAATTTGGGATAAACTAAATTAGAGAGAGAGAGCTCATTACCTTCAAATAAAACCAGGAAAAACTTTACAAAACAGAGAAAATAAATGAGAGAGATAAAGATTACCATGGGAAACAGAGAGAGAGCTGACTAGTATTAAAAACAAAACCAGGGAGAACTTTACAAAACAGAGAGAGAGAGAAAAAAAACATTGAAAAACAGAGAGAAAGCTGACTCCATTTGGAAGGAAAAAAAAAAACAAAGAGAGAGAGAGAGATTACCATGGAAAAACTTTGGAGAACAGAGAAATTAGAGAAAGAGAGAGAGAACTGATTACAATTAAAAAACTTGGGAAAAACTTTGAAAAACAGGGAGAAATTAGAGAGGGAGAGAGAGAGCCGATTGCCATTAAAAAACTTTGAAAACAGAGAGAAATTAGAGAGAGAAAGCTGATTGCCACTAAAAAACTTTGAAAATTTTTGGAAAAACTTTGCAAAACAGAGAGACAAATGAGAGAGAGAGAGATTTGACTACCATTAAAAAAAACCAGGTAGAACTTCACAAAACAGAGAGAGAGAGAAAAAAAACCATTGAAAAACAGAGAGAAATCTGAACCCATTTGGAAAACAAAACAAAAAACAAAGAGAGAGAGAGAGAGATGAATATACCATTAGGGATTTTAGAACAGAGCGGAGCAAAAGCCTCCTTATCAGCAGCAGAGAACTCCCCATCTTCAACCCCAAACCCAAAAGAATCTGCACCACAAACACACACAAATCCGAACCCCCATCAACAAAACAAAAAACAGAGAAAACCCACAACACCCACAGAGCAAGCACTTACAGAAGGATGAGAAAAAGGAGAAGAAATGGGGAGCAAAGACGAAGCAGCAAGAGAGAAGACAGAGAAACAGAAGAAACAGAAACTTGGGCCTCGCCGCTCTCTTGTAACCAGAAACAGAGTACAACAAATCGCCGCACCCCATAGAAGAAGAAGAAAAAGCTGAAGAAGGGTTCTCTTCATCGCCTTCAAAATAGTAATGGGTTCTTAAATTGAGCCCCTTTTTCCAGGCCTGGTGATACCGCATATAGTGAACCATATTCCCAAGCAAAGCTTTGATCTTTGGGTTTTCTTTTCTCTGTCGCTTTATTTAATTGGCAGCTTTTTTTTTTGAAGTGGCCTAACTTGATGCCAAAACAAACAGGAGAGAGAAACAAATACTGCATAAATCCAACTGGGTTTGTCTCTGTTTTTATAGGAAGGAGAGAGAAAGAAGAGAGAGAAAGAAGAGAGAGAAGAAGAAGAAGAAGAAGAAGGTGTTTTCTGGGGGTTCACATTCACAGGCGCAGGGAAAGAGTAAGGAAGAAAAGGCAAAAATGGAGGCGTCAAATATGGCTGGATACTGCCTGGGGATGGGATGGTGTGCTGCCCCTTTTTTAAAAAATCATCATAAAAAAAGAAAAAAAAAACTATTATTCCCGCTGCACTCGTTTTGATCTTTGTTCTTCCTGTTGCATTTGTTTTGATTTTTGTACTTCCAGTCACGTTCATTTTGATCTTTGTACTTAATGTTTTAAAAGTACATGGAGGAATATTTTAAACTAAAAAACTGATACCAGTTCTGAGCTACTTAGAATAGCGTAAACTGTCCCTACAGACCAGAACTACATGCTTACTGTCAAACACACTTAATTTTAGAGTTCTTATGATTGAGTTGTTGGGAAGGAAGGTGCATCTTGTTAGTATAGGGGTGACTATCAATTTTTTAAGTCTTTCTGGACCATGTTTCTATGGTCTCAGGATCCCTCTCATTCGGATATGGTATCGATTCATTCATCTACTCCTTCTCTCTACTCAAGCGTGAAATTAAATTGTGATCCTTTTGGTTTTTTATTTGCAAAATTTTAACACAAATTTTATACGCCATAGAAATCAATTAATACAAATTTTATGGTTACATTGCAAAAAATTTAGTGGATTGAATGTCATGTTATAATTATGATAGTTAAAAATGAAAATGATCGTTTTAATTAAAATGGTCACGTTTTAAGAGTAGATTGATCAAAATGGATGTCTTGAGAGGGGAAATTAAATGAATAAAGTTGAAATAATAGGCGTCTTGGAATTACAATTACCAAAATGAACCAAAACCAAAAAAAGTAGTAAACCAACAATAAAGAAGTTAAACTACGCGTCCTTGTGGATGGAACATATTTTCAATTTGGTCCCTGTGATTTAAAAGTTTCAATTTGATCTCAATACTACAATCTTAGTTTCAAGTTGGTTTCCATGATTCATAAATTCTCGCTGTCATTACTTTAATTGCAACTAAATGTGGTTAGACGAGGTGTTGTCATTTGAGATTAGTAGAGATGTGTACAAGTTAACCCGAGCGCTCGTAGGTATTAAAAATATAGTTGTGTTTGTAATTACTATATTAATTAATACGTGACATTTTGTTATTTATTTTCATGACATTGCAAATTTATATTTGACATAATATATTAAGATTTAGGGTTGAGTAAAAAATAGATAAAGTTCGACTTTTAGAGCAAGTAAAACACAGTTTAGGTACGATAGATTTAACCAAATTATAGTGATTAAATTGAAAACTTCAATTGTATGAACTAAATTGAAACTAACCTCAAATCGTATAATCTAAATTGAAATCTTTTGAATCATATCGACCGAATTGAAATTAAGCTCAAATGCGAGAGATCAAATTCATAATTTAAGAAGTCAGTACTTAATAAATGTTCATTCTAAACTTTTTAAGTATTTTGTATCAATTCATAAAGTTTGTAAACAAAACTAATTCAAATAAGTGTCGGAGAGTTATTTAACGGCGGACTTTATGCCTGAGCGAAACTTAATTTTGTTCCAAAATTGAATTTCATTAAATTAGTGAATTTTTCTTTAGATTTTTACTACATTATTTGTAGAAATTAATGGAACTTGAGTGGAGGGTAAAAATTGAATCACTTACCTAAATTTATAGTTTTTTTTGCAATGTAAATTTGAACGTACAACCTTTTGATCAAAAAAAAAAAACTACCTTAACAATTAGGCTATGTTCAAATTTACTTATCTAAATTTACGGTAAGTCAGCATGAAAATTTATATAACTTGTCAAGTTTTAGAATTCCTTAAAATTTACACTTAAGTAAAAAATTATTTAAGAAAAAAAAAAGAAAATGAAAAAAAAAATTTGGTCCATTTTACCGTCAAAGGCGTGTGAGAGAATCCAAGGGAGAATTAAAAAGGGATGGCGTGTAAATTCTTCATTAACTTTCCAACAAAATTGTGCTCAACACTCAACGCGCCTATTTAGTTTTAAATTAAAAAAAAATCAAATTTCGGTATTTAATTTTGACATTTATCTAATTTTAACGTTTAAATCGGGGAAGAAAATAGAAAACGGGATAAAATAGCGTACAACAATTTAAAAAATGGCTTTGTTTCGAAAATGGGGTATTTTAATATTCAATTATCTATGTTCTGATCTTATCTTGTCTCATATTGTATGTAGCAAATCAATCGTTTGTTCACATACATGTCACACTAATTAGTAGCACTAGAAATTACATACGGTCATGATCCAAAGTTTATGAATGAAATTTAAATTTGTTTTTTTCTATATAAAATAGACACAATTGTCAAAATTTGTAATTTAACCGACACTATTGTATAAAATGTTAGAGTGATAATGCATCAACTAGTATAATATATAATTAGTTCTTAATTTGAAGAAACATTTCTATTGAATAGACATTTTGATAGGGTAGATTATTTGTCATATCATACTATCTCTTTGTATTCAACTAATTATACAATGTTTCTAAGGCATATTGATGTTGATACATATCAATTTTATGAAAATGTCAATAGAAATATTAATAAAATGTCAATATTAATGGATATTTCTAAAAAAAAAAATTATAAACAGTCGTAACAAATATTTAAATTAACAAATAAATATTTCACTATTTTTAACAATAAAAAATTAGAAAAATACTTTTCTTATGAGCAAGAACTCATTATTAAATTAAAAAGAATTATTGTTTTGCATTTCTCTTTCTGAGTTGTCAAACATTCAATGGTGAGAAGAATAAGATTGGTCCTCGCTGACAATGAACTAAGTATTTTTCGAAAAATTATTAGTATTAATGATATATCTATGATATTTTGTTAATATTTTTTATATTTTATCGGTATTTTTTGTAATACTATAAAAAAGTCGATGTCCAATATAGACTGGATACTTGGCAAAATTAAAAAACAATATATTTTTAGTATAATTTTTAAAAGAATATATCAAAAATTTAAAAAGAAAAAATCGCATATAAATTTTGGGGTTACTCGGCATGGGCAGGAGAGTACGGCATTGTAATGGGGGATGTGTTTTGGCGTATGTGGGAAGCTTTGTCCACGCGCCGACGAGGGGAAAGCGCGTGGCTAACTGGGCAATGCTAAATTGCCCGTGACGGTAGCCGTGGACTCGGCGAATTTTTTTGACTTTCAGTTTGCATTTTGTCACACCTGGTTTAGGTTAAATTTATTAGTAATTACTACTACTTGCCACGTCAGATAAATAATTGAAAAGAAATATATAGCTAATAATAATAATAATACCTAATCCTTATGGGTTTTTTTTCCTTAATAATTTGATTTCTAACTTTAATATATATTTTACAAATTTTAATGAAATTATTATGCGAAAAAAATTCATGTGATGAAGTTTAATACTATTTTAGTTTCCGAATTTTTTGTTTTTGTTTTATTTTGGTCAAAACTTTTAAAAAATAATCATTTTAGTCCTTCAACTTTTATAATGCCTATATTAATGTTTAAAACTTTTTAAAATAACAATTTTTGTTATTTGTAGATTGTTTTTTTACCTTAAATTTCCTTACTCAATATCGAGTTTCAACCTATGTGTGGTTTGAATGCATTTTTGCATTAACACATACTCAAAGTCATGTTATTGATGTAAATTTTTATTTGGGCAAAATTTGTTTTCCCCAAGATATTAAGGAAAGCACACCAGTACAGATTTACATGAATATATATCCAAGTCAACATGAGTTTAGTTCAGCAGTAGTTAACATCTGTTTTTTGTCGATAAGTCGTGAGTTAATCTACCGCCCCCACTTATAAAAAAACAGTTAAAAGAGAAATTGGAATAGAAAAATGTAAAAAACGAAATAGAGCAGGGATTTAAACTCATGAATAGAGGGTTGATATTGACCTTTATGACCAATGCTGCACAATTCTTACCATTGAACCAAATGACAAAATAATATATATAGCATATATAACTCGCAGCAACTGCATGCCCAACACGTGGCATCCTTAAAGCCATGTCACACCGAAGTAGCGCCCAATGACTGCGACTATCACAAAATCGCAGTCATTGGCTGCGATTTTGGCCTAAAATCGCAGCCATTAAATGCGATTTACCTGACTACCCTACTTTTGAAAATACTTTCAAACATATATTTGTGTCATTTGTTTTTTTAAAAAACATTATTTAAAAAAAATCCGGTTAGGTTATGGATAGTTTCAAAAAAAAAATAAATAAATAAAAGGCTATGGATTATCTTTTTTGGTTACTCTCAAAATATTCATTTTAGTTCTTATATTTTCAAATTTTATTTATTTTAGTCTAGGTACTCTCCAAACATCTATTTTGGTTATTGTATTTTTAAAAAGTTGTTATTTTAGTCTAGTCAGCATGTTACTGTTCTCATTTCTAGTTTCTGTTTCTTCTCCTTTAATAAAGAAAAATATAATTGTATGGCTCGGACTCCAACACACACGAACTCAAGAATGATAAAACAATATTCTTATTTATGTTTTGGAACAAATTGTAAATGAGAATAATAAATTTCAAGAAACTTGTTTTTGTTGTTTACAAGATTTCTATACAATTTTGAGAACGTTTTTTTTTAATGAGAAACAAGAAACATAAATAATTGTAAAATGCTTACGTTTCTTAACTAAATTAGAAATGAGAAACAAAAAAAAGGGGAACAAATATCTAACGTTTTGGGTTCTTATTTCTGTTACATATTTTTGAATAAAGAAAAAATATAATTGCATGCTCCAACACCCATAAATTCAAGAATGATAAAATAATATTTTTTATTTATATTTTGAAACAAATTGAAAATATCAACAATAAATTACAAGTAACTTATTTTTGTTGTTCCTAAAATTTCCATACAATTTTGAGAATATTTCTAAAAAAAACATAATAGTTAAAATGGTTAGGTTTATCAATAAAATTGAAAACGAAAAACAAAGAAAAATGAATGTTATCAAATAGACCTTTAATTTTCATTTTTATTTCGTTTCTTTCTATCATAATTTGAACATGACACTTCACTCATTAAATTTT